TTTAAAAGTTTAGGTTTATTCTTGTATTCAAGTAAAATATTTCGTCCAGCATTTTACATCCACCTAACACTGAACCAGGCCGCCAGTCATATTTTGATCCTCATTTCTGCGTGTGAGCCAAAAAGTTTGCCCATCCTTGGCCTAAGGTTAGCAAATCATCTAAAGTGCTAAATGAAATTTACAAAGTTGACTTATTATAGTTAAAGGTAATTTAATACATTGCAAACTTTTCAAACAATTACCAAAGCAGCCTGCTACAGTTAACCTGAAATAGCTACCAGCAGCCAAAAAAGTAGCTAGTAGTTTAAAAAGTTGCTAAATGTTAGCAACAAAAACAGGCATGAATACAGACGGAAACTATGAGTTAGCCTCAAATTACTACAATAAAAGAGTTTTTGGACAAAAAAGTAGCTAGTAGTTTAAAAAGTTGCTAAATTACTACAATAAAAGAGTTTTTGGAACTTTTTTCTTGGTTTGTCAATAACAATGTCATTTAAAGGAAAACAAACTCAATGCTAATGTGTGGACATTGGACAGATGACAGCTAAAGACATGTTTTTATAAAAAGACAGAGCAACTGAAACCAACACATAAGATCAACCAATGATGAAAACAGTCCTTCAAAGAGGAAACGGATCAATAGTTGGGTCAGCACCGAGCTGAACCACAGACTGACCCAGGTTTGATGTGGGGATTAAAGTCAACCAGAGTGCTCTGTCAAAACACACTCTTTTTGTTAATGCATTGTTCTGATTTGTGTGTGAAAACACATGCCTGCCTTTCATCTTTCACTTCATCTCTCACTGAAGCCTCAGTGCTGAGGCGTCCACAGATCTTCAAAAAGCCCAGAGAGGTTAAAGCTATCAATAACAAAAAGCCTCTTTTAAGAGAAAAATAGTCTGGCACACAAACCACAACTAAGTGCAGTGTGTTTGTTCAGCTGAGTGACGGCAGGAGATGAAGGACAAATAAAGTCAGTACAGTAATATGTGAGATGGACACGGTGATTTAGTGTTCCACAGAAGAGGGGAAAAAAAGAACACTCAGATTGTGACAAGGTATTTTAATTTACACCGTAACTTGGATCAGTGAATCTCAGTAAATGTGTGTGTTCTGGTGTGTGTCATAGTGAGTGTTATGCTGCGCTCGGTTCAGCTGTCCGTCAGGGATGGATGACCCCTGTAATGGAATGATAATGAGGAGAGCAGGGAATAAAGGAGGAGGATCCGACTCTTTACTGCCCCTCTGTTAAAAGTCAATGCTGTGATGTCACTGATTATAAATACACTTGGTGGACAAAGACGTTGGGCGTGGTCCTTCAGCGGCGAGCGAGAGAAGACCGATGGTCTGGTGAGGTAAGACAGACAGACCAATGCTAAGGAAAGGAAAGGATTGAACATGAACAAGTGGAGAAGGATGCATCTAAGGACATTATGAAATCAAACTATGGAGAAGACATGGCGTCAAAGTCAACGAGGTCACATGTCCCCTGATGGACAGATCGCACAGGAGACATTAGGGTTGCTCCTACAGCCACAGATGATTGCCCCGGTCACTCAGTTGTAGCACTGATTCACAAACCTCCGAGGACCTGACTGGTAAACACTTCACCATCAATCTGGACCTAACTGTGATGAATCACATTTGTGCAGCGTGAACCAACGTCACACCTAAGCCTCGGAAATGAAGTCCTGACTCATTTGGACCAATGAAAGGAAGAAATTCAATAAGTATGATCCATTCAAAGATGGGGTCAAAACCATCTGAGAAACAAATGAACAGGAGAGAGGACGAGGGAGCGGGAGAGAGACAGAGAGAGATATAAAGAGAGGAGGGGAGAGGGAGAGGGAGAGAGAGAGAGAGGATGTAAATAATATCTGGTAGTTCAGGCTGTGAAAATAACAAGCACTCACTTCCTCACTAACAACACTCCTAAAATAGCTGTGGGCTGAGTAGAGACGGCCTGTGAAGATGTCAACAGTTTGCAGCAGAAGCGGTGAATTATTTTTCCTTCTCTCTATCTCTCTGGCTTGTTTTTTTTTTTTTTTTTTTTTTTTTTTTAAAAAACAGCGTGATTCCACTGAAAACAGATCTCAGGCCCTGGATTCTCATTATTACAACAGAGCATGAGTGACAGCACAGCGTGAGCACCGAACAGAACGCAGTAAACGCTCGTCGCCCGGGGGGGAAACAGCGTGTTGTATTTGAATATTTTGTATTTGCATTTAGTGGGGAATGAGTGTCTGGGAATGAGTGTATGTGAAAACTGAGGGGTAGGACACCATATGTGGCAGCTTCTGTTAAAGGCCCGGCCTGTGAAGAGCAGCAGGTTGGTCTCACCTGCAGGACAAATGATCTACGGTTCTGATCTCCAGGAGAAATATATATATACGAGCGGGAGCAAAAACACTATCAGTGCCAAAAAATATCCAAAAAAAAAAAGCCTTTGTAAACTAAAATTATACCCCTAAGAGCAGCACAACAGTTTTTTTTAACATCCATGTAAAAAGACAAAGGTTCTTCTGTCAAGTCTAAGACTTGTGTTGTTGAAGGAACACACGGCAGACCTGATGGGTCCAAGACTGTACACAAGCTAAAACATAGCAGATCTTTGGCTAAGAATTGTGAAAGAGTATTTTGTTTGTCAATTTCTATAAATTTCTATAAAATGAATCTGTAAACTTTGCTTAGTTGAGTTGATGAGTCGAGTGGTACAAATAATAATTAGCAAACGTTAGCAGGTAGTTGTCCTAGGTTTTCCAAAAAAAATGCAGGTAAATTTATTGGCAATTTATTTTACAAATATTATGGGGTTGGGGAGGGGTTGCCAAATAAAAAAGTGTTCTTAAAAATGAAATAAGACTAGCTTTAAAAAGCAATAGAATAAATCAACACACAGCTCAATTAGCTGATTTCTGGCTAAGGGCAAGACAATATTCTGTTTACCTTAAACATTTTAAAAGTTCATTTGAAAAAAATGTCTTAGCTTAGGATAAAAGTGGACAATTAATTACATATGGCAGAAATGTGGGAAACTACGAGATCTTCGTTTAATTAAATAAGCATGACAACTAAGTGCTTAACGTTACTAATATACCATATTATACAAAAAGCAAAACAAACCAACAACCTACTAAAAGTTAGCAGGTTACTGGCTAAAGTTAGCCAAAAAATTAGGGATACTGTTTACCAAAATATTTTGGAAAAAATCATTAGCTAAAACGTGTTCAAATCAGTTAAAAGGACTTCAGGGCAATTTGGTTTAAAGGATCAAGGGGAACTAAAAACTAGTCAAAACCCACATCAGATATAACCCCAGTGTTCAGAATCACACGCCAAAACAGATGACCGTAAAACTCCAGGTAATCAACTAATGTGTGTAACCTCCACCCTGAGGCTGAAGGACACCATATAATGTCATTAATTAAGGTGACCTGCATTTCCAAGGTCACACGGTCTCACGTCTGATCATTTCCAGAACCTTCCATTAACCTGGGGCCTGGCTTTTACTACAGTATCTACTAGGATCCTCTTTTCCTTCCCCAGGAGGACGAGCCGTCTGCAGAGCAGTGCGTCACAAAGCTCTGCAGTGGGCACTGCTGCTCGTCCATGACCCTCCGACAGATCTGTGACAGCCAATCAGATGGCTGTGGAGGCGGGGCCTGCAGAGGGGAGAGGACGGTGGAGATGTGGAACGGTGTGTTTGTATAGGTGGGTGTGTATGAAGTGGATCTGTGGACCAAATGTCTCTGCTCTGTTAGATAACTGTCATCCTGCTCACAGCTGCAGTCAGTCTCTACGTCTACCTGTGTCTCCTGTGTCTCCTGTGTCTCCTGTGTCTCCTGTGTCTCCTGTGTCC